TATTTAATCTTGTCCTTTCAGAGTGTTCACAAGGCTATCCCCTCCCTTTTACTCCTGAATCTGTTTATCAGCCTAATCTAACCTGACGCATTTTATCCCATCTAAGCTAATAAAACATAGTTTATCTAGTGCAGATTCTCTAAACTGTGATCTGAGTGGTAGATACTTGTCGCAGCTTCACCCTTGCTGCAGGCTGGGATTTCATGCCAGTTGCTGGATTTCACACTTTCAACATCCACAAGGTGAGGTTTTTACCTGCTTTATCAGATAGGAACTGAAGATACACGAGCTTGAGTGACTTTCTCACTATTATTAAAGTAAGCCGGTGGCAGAGCAAGGCGTAAACCTCGTTTTGCTTTCCTACTGTGTTAGAAATTAAAATAATACCGATGAGCACACGCTGTTTCTACCGATCGCTGGATTTTCTTCTGGCATCCTGGCCATTCATAACAGCACCAGAAGCTTTAAGTGTGAGGGCACGTGGTGAAAGCTGGCAGAGGGCAGAGTGTGGTGTGGATTACAGCACGAGGTGAGGGGTTTTGACCTTGCCCGAGGAGGTCTGTGGACACGGTGGCTTGTACCTGATGGAGAGAAGCAAGTTGCAAACCCCGGGCGAGCGTTTGGGAGCGATGGGAGAGGGAGGCTGAATTTTGAGCCTACGGCTTGGGTGGGTTTGCTGCACCAGTCTGGTTCAGGAGCAAGAGCAACAGGCACCTGAGGCAGCAGCTTCCCTGTGTTTTAAAGGTTCTGGACTGTCAGAGCTACCAGTGAGCAGCTGGGGCTTGTTTGGGCACCGTTTCGCGCAGGAGGGCAGGAGAGGAGGATGCACAAGAGCTTTAGGAAGTGAAAAACATTCTTGCTCTCCTACTTGTGAGACCCAGGCTTGGAGAGCACCCACCATGCTTCCCACCGGGCAGAGCTCTCCTCCAGACGTGGATTCTTCTCCTGGGGACTTGGAGAGGAAAATGGCACGTGGGTGGCACCTCTTGTGTCAGTGGCCATCTCCGTGCTCCAGGCTCTTCCCTGTGTTGTGCAGAGCCAGCTTCGGAGTAGGAGAGGCAGCTTTAGGTTTTGATCTTTTTGATGCTGTGGGTCTGAAGCTGGAAATGAGTCAGTGACACATCTGTCAGAAACAACCAGGAATCTAGAGAGGATGAGACATGGCAATGTCTTCTGAAGATGGATCCGAGCGCTTTGATGAGACGGTTCAGTCTGAAATTCAAGATAATGGCTGGGAAATATTAAGATATAACCTCAGAGTCTGTGTTTTGATTGTTACTTCTTAGTTAATGTAGTGAATGTTACTACTGGGCTCTCCAGAGATGAACCTGAATCTCAGCATCCCCACTCGAACGTTGGAATGGACCTTCTACAAATTAGCAGAAGGCTCTAATTGTCAATCAGTTGACTTCAGTGGAAATTTCCACTGACTCCCGTGTACTTTGGCTTCAGCCCAAGGCTCATATCTGCGTCTTCTAACCATTCATGCAACATCTCTGCTTGCAGCTTTGCAAGTGTTTATGGAAAACACATTTTAAAGCTCAAGTGAGGACAGAGGTTGAAGGTAGTAAGACGCACTGAAGAAGTTCAAACTAGTTCACAGATTTCTAGACCAGTCTGAGACCAAGGAAAGAATAATTCTGTGTATTCATTGCAACTCGTGTTGAAGATGACCCCTCTACACTCAGTTGGTCTTGGCACCAATGACTGCAAGTCAATTATTCTTTGCATTCTTATTGTTTACTAAGAATAATATTTCCCCTTTACCATTTTTCTTTCAGGTTTAAACTTTAGAAGCAATTATTTAATTTCTAAAGATTTTTGGTGGGATAAAGAAATTTGCTTGATACCGGGAGACAAAAGCAACCAAAATTGAATGAGTTTAGAAAGGATCAGTTTCCTCTAGGGGGAAAAGTCCTTGATTGCTTCTTAAGGGTTTTATATGTTCTTTGGAGGCAGAGGGATAGGGAAGGGAAGGGAAGGGAAGGGAAGGAAAGGAAAGGAAAGGAAAGGAAAGGAAAGGAAAGGAAAGGAAAGGAAAGGAAAGGAAAGGAAAGGAAAGGAAAGGAAAGGAAAGGAAAGGAAAGGAAAGGAAAGGAAAGGAAAGGAAAGGAAAGGAAAGGAAAGGAAAGGAAAGGAAAGGAAAGGAAAGGAAAGGAAAGGAAAGGAAAGGAAAGGAAAGGAAAGGAAAGGAAAGGAAAGGAAAGGAAAGGAAAGGAAAGGAAAGGAAAGGAAAGGAAAGGAAAGGAAAGGAAAGGAAAGGAAAGGAAAGGAAAGGGGTATATTTTTCCTTGTGAAATATAGAGGGATGACTACATTTCTTTCTGCCTAAGATCTGTGGCCCAAATGAAGTTTGAAGTTTAGCTCAGCTATGCCATCTTTAATGGCAATAATTATTATAATGAATACTATTTTATATTTTTGTTATTTACCAGCACTTAGTTTTGATGGCAATTGTGTCTTTCAGTCCCCAGCAGCATAAATGGAATGAAAAATAGTAATTTGTTATTAATTTTCATGCATGGTTTGTCATATACTCCTGCGTACTCATTGTCCTATATATACACGCAATTAATTGTGAGACCATCTCTGTCCTGACATGGAGATGAAATGGGAATGGAGCCAAGACACAGGGAAAATAAGCAATTTCCCCAAGGTCATGCAGCAAGTCTATCCAGCCCCCACTCCCTGGTGCCATCAGTGATTTGCACGTTAACGTTGACACGCTGCAACAAGAGCTGGAGGAGAATGGAAAAAATAATATCGAAGCCTCCGCTCAAATGGTGACTCGAGGAAGGAAAGCAGGTTTTTGGCCTGCTCCTACTGATTTCTGCTGGAGGGGGGAAGGGGAGAGTATCTGCCATTGGGTGAGAGAGTGGGTGGATTCGCGGCCAGAGGGGAAGCCGAACTGCTGTAGGATTAAGAAGGATATTTCTGTCGCGGTGACTGGTTATTATTTCTTTTCTGAGTTCGTTACAACACACAGCACTCTGCTCGTTTCGCTTGGAAGGTGAAAAAAGCAGAGATTGTGAGAGCAGCGCCGCAGTCACCCCTGAGCAGGGACCGTTCGCGTAGCTCGGGAGCTGTGTGAGCCTGCGGACACGAGAGCGTCTGGCATCATGAGGCCAAAGAGATGGAGCAGCTTGGAGAGAAATAGTGCACTCAAATCTTCTGAGTAGGACTTGCAGGAAGGTTTGGAGCTGGCATGCTTGCTCTCCTTACAGAGCACGCTTGTGGGGTCTGATTCTGCTCTCAGGGAGAGTCAGCTGGTGCACGGTTACTGGCGCTGATGGGGTCCAGAGCAGGTTTTAGCTGTGCCATGCTTGTCAGAGTAAAAGTGAGCTGGTTTACAGAACAGGGCTTCTTGGGGGATTAGAGGTAGGCTCACTGCAGCAGAAGGGAAAGGACATCCAGGAGACCATGTAAGGAGAGCAGTGAAGAGGCAAGAAAAGTCTGGGACTTTAGAGGGACCCTGGAGGTGATGATCTCTGTTGTGTTGCTCTCCAGCCACACAGGGATGAGTAGACTCTGCACGTGAGTGGAGATTAGTGCCACTGATGGCTTTTGACTTTCTCGGGACACAACAGCACCAGGATTCCCACAAGCTTTAGTTCTGAACGCTGCTTAAGCCTCGTCCCGTTGGCTGGTCCTTCTCATCAAACAGCTGCAGGCTGGTGCACAGCTCCCTCTGAGAGCAGCTGAGAGTAACTGGTGAGACATCTTCCTTGTAAACCCAAAGTCACGTGGGGCTTTTCTGGAGGAGGTTTGCGCTGTCTGGATTGCTTCCATCGTGGTGGTTTCCTCACCCTCCTGGTGTGCAGCAAGACATAAATGTCCACAAATCCCTGAGGGAGCTGGTTAGCTCAGTCTGTTGAGAGTGGCACTAAAAACGCTAAGGTCGCGGGTTCGATTCCTGTTCGGTCCCCATGTGTTGCCTGATCTAGTTGAGAGGTGACGTCCCTGGCGACAGGGAGGCTGGATTAAAATGATCTCTAAGGTCCTTTCCAGCCTAGGCCATTCTATGATTCTGTGATTCTATGATGTAGCTGCATCTGGCCCTACAACATCTGGAGGAAGCTGTATCTGATCCCTAGATACTCACTGGTTACCATCGCCATCAAAGTAGCTGTGGTTGTGTGGAATAGAAGCCAGGAATAAAGAGAAATATCTTCAATAATATGACAGGCATATCTGTGTGTCCTTCCAAAGGCTGGCTCCAATGAGAGAGGGATTTACCATAAGGTCTGTGTGAAAGTCATTCAGAGGACAAGGCCTAAGGATGGATAATGACCAGAGAGGGCAAGAGGAAAGATGAGGCATGTCATAAAAGTGATTTTTTTAAAAAAAAATAAGGCAGTAGAAATGAAAAAAACTCACAAAGGCAAGGAGAAACAGAAAAAAAATTTTTAAAAGAGGCAATGAAATAGAAAAAGGGGTGATTTTTCTTAAAAAAAATAAGGCAGTAAAAATGGAAAAAAAACTCACAAAGGCAAGGAGAAACAGAAAAAAAATTTTTAAAAGAGGCAATGAAATAGAAAAAGGGAGATGAAAATGAAGGGGAGGTGAGCATGATGGAGATATTTTGATGGATAGACACATCTCTCAGGCTTTGTTGTCCATTTGTCTCTCTACGGCTACAGAACAAGCCCATATGTTATAGAGCGGTAGTGGAGGTCACTTTCCCAGTGCCAAAGCTGAAAGGGACTAGTCGTGTTCTTTCTGTATGAGCTGCTCAAAGACTTGTGTTTTACCCAGCGACCCCTGGGTAAGTGAGTTGCTTTCTCCATCAGCAGTTTATTGAGCTCAAATCTAAGAAATGTGCAAGACCTAAAATATTCCAAGATCTTCTCACTCACGAGGACAACGAAAATGTTCCCAGACCAGATTGTTCTATATGACCAACATCCCGATACCATGGAAGTGCAGCGATTCTTTGCCTGCACTATCTAATTTACTCTATCTTGAATTTTTTTTGCTTTTTCACACTTTAGGAAACCAAGATGGATTACAGCTCGTTCAGCGGAGTTCCTCGGTTCTTGACCCGGCCCAAGGCGTTTATGGTGTCTGTGGGGAAGGATGCCACCTTGAGCTGCCAGATCATTGGGAACCCTATCCCAGCTGTGAGCTGGGAAAAGGATAAACTTCCAATCCAGTCTGGGGGAAGGTTTAAAACCACGAAAGATGAGGATCTCTATCGGCTAACAATCTACGATCTGAGCCTGGAGGACAGTGGCCAATATATTTGCCGGGCCAAGAACACCATCGGGGAAGCTTTTGCAGCTGTCAGCATCAAAGTTGGGGAGGAGACCACAGTAACGGAGTCAGCTCCGTACTTCATCCAGAAACCCTCCTCCATCAAAGTAACGTTGGGAGAAGACGCCATGTTCAAATGCAAAGTCCAGGGCAGCCCTCCTCTCTCGGTGAACTGGGAGAAGGATGGGAGGCACCTGCGGAACCGGGCTGATGCTGGGCGCTTCCAGATCGAGTCTGCCGGGGAGTCAAACGCTCTCACCATCCAGTGCGCCCGGCTGGGGGACAGTGGCACCTATACCTGCCGAGCAGAGAATCCCATCGGCTCTGCCAGCGCTTCGGCCGCGCTGGTGGTGGAAACACAAGGCTCTTCCAACCCGGGCAGCAGCAGCCACTTTGATACCAGCTGCAGCAAAACGACCTCCTTGTTGTCTCACTTGCAGAAGAGGCGGGAGGAGATAAGAAAGATGGACATCTCCCATGCGGCTCTTGATTCGACATCTGCCCAGTCCTACTCCACAGCAGAAGGGTTGTCCGGCATCGGTTACGGCCTCTCCAGGGATTACGAGAGGGCAGCTGGATTTACCACTAAAGGGGCACGCAACGCAACATTTGGGGCGCTGACACGCACGTGCAGCGTGACGGAGGGGAAGCACGCCAAGCTGAGCTGCTATGTGACCGGCGAGCCCAAGCCAGAGATCGTGTGGAAGAAGGACAATGAGGTCATTTTGGAAGGGCGGCGGCATGTCATCTATGAGGATGATCAGGAGAACTTTGTGCTGAAGATCCTCTTCTGCAAGCAGATAGACAACGGGCTGTACACCTGCACTGCCTCCAACCTGGCGGGCCAGACCTACAGCTCCGTGCTTGTCACCGTCAAAGGTAGGTGCTTACGTTTCTCACCGGGGTAGGCGTGGCTGCAAGGAGACAGCCAATGCACTTCTGAATTGAGGTGAGAGCATGAACAAAACTTCTGTCACCAAACTGTTGAAAACCAGTGTGGATTAGACACAAAGTCCTCCAGGTGTAAAGGGTGTTAAGCACTGGAATAGATGATCTGGGGAGAGAGTCTTATCACTGGCCAGATTTTCAGGAGGGGAAAGAATGGGCACCAGTCAGGGATGGAACTGGGATGTGGAACTGACTGGTTGGGGGGCACCTGGGATGAACCAGATCTCTAAAGCTTCTTCTATCCATCTTGGCCTCACAGTCATCTAAGAGATCTGTTACTACCCTCTGGATCTGTAACTGCTAAAACCCCATCTTAGCCTCTAGGCTTTAATCACATCTGAATCTGTGTTCATTACAGGGTTTAGTCAAACTGGCGCACTCATGCCATTTAAGCAGTAGTAGAGGAAATCCTCCTTGAGTGTGCCAGTCTGCCTTGGATCCCTTGGGGGACCTACTCCAACTCTAATTACAGTCCATCTCGGTTTTCCTGACAGAAAGTGACCCACCAGCATCCTTATTCTTCCCAGCCTCTTCAGCTTTCTCCCAGCTTATGTTGCTGGATACCCTGTAGTCCTTGTACGCTCCCAGAACTCTCTCAGGTCCAGGATACCTCTATTTGCTGTGGTCACTGGTCAAGAACCTGCCTTCAGAGAGTCTCAGAGTGCTGGTGGAGGTCAGACCAAGTTCTTCAGAATGGCAGCAAAAGTGTGACACACGTATTTTCACATAGGAAGCTCTGAATATTTAAGTTGCTTTCCCATTTGGCAAGGTTACAGCAGTTAGTTTGCAACCCAGGCAGCACCTGTAAATTAACTCTTAGATGGAAAAGGCCTTGCCACTTGAGTAGCAAAACAAAAGGTTTTGACTGGCAGCAAAATAAATTAGAAATCCAAACGAGGAGGAATGATCTGTGTTTCATAGCTGTCTTTAAGATTCTCAGCTTTTATGTGGCTTTATGGTTTCCCTTTTTCTGGGCATCTCCTTTCACACTCACCATCCTTCCCATCATTGACTCAGTCCCCATGTCCATCAGTGACACCTGATCCATGGAACTCGCTGGCACTTGTCCCACTCATTTCTATCCCTTGGAGGCGCTGAGTGATGTGGGGAAGGGCATATGTCCTCTTCCATAAAGCTGGGATTACCTCATGAATTGGGACTCAGAGCTGAAGACCGAGCCTGGCCCTTGGGCAGGTGTTCACTCCCAGGTTGGCTCAAGCTCTCTTACTTGCCCAACGCCTGTCTTACAAATGCCCTCCCCTCTGCCCGTGGTTATCCAATTTATTCTCAATGGGTACAACCTGTTCCAAAGGAGATGGGGAAAGTATGAGAAGCAGCAAGTCTGGGATGAAGCACCATGGGAAAAAGTTATTGATCAATGTCCATTGTCAAGAGATGCCTGTGAGTCAGAGGGCTTAACTGGAAATATTTGTCGTCTGTTTCTTTGTTATACTACACCATGTTGGGCTTTCTGACCAGGCTAAGGCTGCCATGGAAAATCTGTGTCCGTTGGTTATAATTAGGCCCTGAATAATGACTCTCCTTTGCATCACCAGAAGTCCTTCTCAGCCCTCCAGGGGCGGTTCAGAAGGATATAGTAACAAAGGGAGTTTTAAAACCTGTTGTTTATGCCATTAGCTGATCTGTCACCGCGTTTGGGGAGGTAGGTCATCTTATCACGCAACCTTCTCTTTGCTCAGTCATGCAAAATAGTGAACTTCTCCAAGCAGCCACCCTTGGTAAGCACCATGCTGCTACCTTGCTTTTTTTCTGCAGGTAACAGCATATTTATAGAGCCTGTGACACTGGATCCACAGCGTGTGTCCATAGATACAGGTACCAGGAAAGACAAACTTCATGGTTTAAATATGCTCTGGCATTTTTTAGTTCACAGAATTTCAGCACAAGAATCTGAGTGAGAATATTTTTCTTTTAAAGGTCGTAATAATAAAAGAAAAAAAAATCAACTACCTAGCTCAGCATCCGGACTGTAAGGTGGCTCTTAGCAGCCTCTCAGGACATAGGACCAGGCACAGGTCAAAGCTCCTCTCACTTGCCTCCTATATTCTCTCAATCCAGGTCCTAGACCTAGAGACTCAACAGATTTGTAAGCATCTGTTGAACCCGTGCCTTAAAGATCACTGAGCTGAAAAAACAGATCTTTGAGCTGTTCCTAGATGTAGCAAATCAGACACAAATCTCAAAGGAGAGGCTACAGGGGTGAAGGTCACTCTCACAATGAAGAAAAACCTTTATGCCAGGGAAGATTAGATGGATATTAGGAAAATTTCTTCACCAAAAGGATTGTCAAGCATTTGAACAGTCTACCCAAAGAGTCACCATGCCTGAAGATATTTAAAAGATGTGTAGATGCAGCACTTCAGCACAGTTTAGTGGTGGACTTAATAGTCTTAATGGTTGAACTTCATGATCTTAAAGGTCTTTTCCAACCTAAGCAATTCTATGAGTCTATGATTTTTGCTAAACCAAAGAGCAGAGAGGACTGTAGGAACACGAATAACTGACTTGAATTTCCTGATGGCTTTGGAGATGTCCTGAGGCCATGTGTAAAGTTAGCAAGAACAGTGTATGGGTCTCCATCCTTGGACCTGGGCCGAGCAATGTTCATCTGAGTCCCTGACTACAGTAATCAGATACTGTATGAAAAGGTTAAAGGTTGAAAGACAAATAGGATAGAGACTGAAAAAAAAACCCCACCTAGTGCTGAGGCCACTTTGTTCCTCTCTGACCTGAAGTGATTTGGGATGACCATTATCGTGGTGATCACATGTGAGAGCTGAAAGAGAACTTTAGATACGTAACGTTAGAAAGAAAACTTGGAAAGCACAGTAACTAGGAAGGGAACCAAAGGCACAAGATGGTGGAAGCTTGTCCATGCTCCTTCAGATCACTCCTGTTTGAAGGATTTTCCATATTCTTACTCTCACTGGCTCACATTTGTTAGGCAGAGGGAAAACTTACCTCTGGAAAAATAAATGGAGAGCCTGTGGAAGGACAGGAATAGGCAAGAGGAAATGTGGGGAAGTGAGAAGACCAGATGAAGCAGGCAGATATGCCTTGAGAAGGTTAAGGAAACACTGGCTTCTTTGCAGGCTGCACCTATTCTTAGCAAAATACCTGTTCACAGGACCTGCTCTTGTAGTTTCCTACTAATTCCATGAGCTTCTCCTGCTCCATACTTCCTCAGGTTTTTTTATTTTGCTGTTTCTATCTCATATTTTTTCCCAATAGGAATGTTTTCATAAATCTCTTATTTCTTCAGAGGTGCTATTGCCTTTGTTATTTTCCTTAATGAGTATTTCTGCCCTGCTAAAACCAGATTAATAGAAAAAACTGCACGGTCAAGAAAATTAAAATAACCCAGACTCCAAACATACTGATACTAGAGGTGAATTGAAATGACCTCTCGGGGCACTCCGAGTTAAAGAAATGGAGCCAGGTCCTGGAGTCCAGAGGTTAACAAGGACAACACAGAATTGCCATTCAAATTCACTGACAACTGCTAAGTTGTCATGGAGGTAAAGGTTTCCAGATAATATTTGATTTGGAGTGATCAGAAAAACACTGATTCACACTTTTTTTTTTGGATTCCATATGAAATGACACCCACTTGAACTACTCTTCCAGCTTGCAAGATGCACAGTTCAGGTACCTCTTGCTTCTGCTCCCCTGTTGCAGCCAGCACCCACTGTGTCTAAATTGTCTTTTCCTTGGTGCCTCATTGTCGTGGTTTGACCCTGGCCGGCAG